TTGGACAGTTGTTTCCACAACCCATTTCTCCATACGGTGTCGTATGCCTTTTTCACGTCCAGGAAGAAGCAGTACGTCGGCTTTCCCGCCCTCTTTCTACCTTGGATGATTCTCCCTACCGTGATTACGTGGTCTACGCACCCCCTCTTCTTTCGGAAACCTGCCTGGCCCTCACTAATACGATGTTCCTTCTCCAATACCCCCACTATCCTACCGTTCAGGAGCTTCCAGAACACTTTTCCTACTGTGTTCAACAGTGTGATCCCCCTGTAGTTTCCTGGGTCAGTCTTGTTTCCTTTCTTGAACAAGTTCACAACCACACCTTCCTTCCATCTACTTGGCGTATACTCGTTTTTCCACACCCAATTGTACAGCAGTACCATCAGCTGGATCATCCCCTTCCCCCAAACTTCATGAACTCGTTGACTATCCCATCCGCTCCTGCTGCTTTGTGGTACTTCAGCTTGTTCACACACGCCTCAACCTCGGTCTCAGTGAACTCCTTTTCTAGTTCTACCTTCCCAACGTCTGCCTTCGATCTCTCTTCTTCTTTCTCGGCCCATGCGTCCACCTCCACCAAGGGAGGGCCCAAAATAAGAAAAAAATTATTGCCTTTGCCATTTGTTCGGATTCATTGACGTGTGACTCGCGTAGTGTACGAAAACAGATGAAACGTTGGCACTACAACAGTACTGGGCCCTCTGCAGTGCGGGGTTGTGTCCTGAAATTTTACCGGCACTATACCGGGCGCCGGCCCAATTCAGAACAGTGCCTCATAGCGCCGGTCCGACACTATTATTGAGGGTTGGAATATCCCTCCATAGTTCCAGTCACGAGGTGTTTGATTTCATGGCGTGGCGCTCAAGCTTTACGGGGCCAACAGAATACGAAATAGATCGAAACAAGTGTGTATTACCAGTGGACGAAGCTAAATCTCAGTCCTCGTTGCCCTCCTTCGATGTTGCAAGATTTACAACAGACAAAACGAAAAAGAAACACAACAGAAAGCGAGCTGCCAAAAAACAAACAACCATCTACCGCCCACCCTCACTACATACGTCGCGACGAAGTTCTGATGTCTGCCTGGCGCACCCGCTTTGATGTTGCAAGAAAAATAAAAAAAGGAAACCACGATCGGAATCGCACCGCACGAAAAACAAACAACCATGTACCGCCTACCCTCACTCCGTCGCGCCAAAGTCTCTCAATGTCTGCCTAGCGCACGTGCTTCGACGTTGCAAGAAAAAAAACACAAGAAAAGCACACAGGAAACGCACCGCACGAAAAACAACCACATGCACCCCCCGCCCTCACTACATCTCGACAAACTCTCTCATGTCTGCCTGGCGCACCCGCCTACTTACTTAGCGGAATGCGCTGCGATCATCGCCATCTTCACCCAGTTCACCTTCCGCACACGGCATGGTGCGCCTCTGCGCAGAGCTGTTCGGGTCTGCAGCAGCACGTGAACCCTGTTTTTCTCTGTGGCGTCTGTCCTCCGGCTGTGCTCCGGTTGTGTTGTGTTTGTTTTTTGTCATTAGCATCGACCGCGCTAACCGGCTGACCAATAAAAAGACTTCAGTCTCAGTGCGGTTGAAAACGCAAAATACTTCCTAAATGTCATTAACTGGACCCGCGAGGGGGCGGCATGGAGGAGACTTGTCTATTCTCCGGATCAAAGACAGGAGCGGTAGCAACAGGAGAAAACTGCACACGTCTACGAAGGCTGCCACGTTGCAGTTCAAGTTCGTTTTCGAGTGCTTGCACTGTTATCCTCCTTGCTTTTAACTCCATCGTTCTAGTGTGTGTGTCTAAACCGGCGCTGTGGTGCCCAATCGGCACTTTATCGGGGCTGCCCTCAATAGTGCCGGACCGGCACTGTCGAGGGCGCTGTCTGTATCCAGAGATATTACCGGACTATACCGGGCACCGGCACTATTCAATCGGCACTACAGACGGCCCAGTACAGTTGTTGTTGTTGTTTGTTGTTGTTTCTCACATTAGCTCTATAGTCCACAAAAAATGGGGAGCCCGTGGTCTCAAAACCCGGCACATACGACGCCGCGGGGAAACAAAACAAAAAATAGGGTACCAACCACTCGGAAAAAAGAAAACAAAATGATGAAAAGAAATGAACAGGTACCGCACCGACCGTTCGAGAAAAGAGCTCTCGGAAACCGATCAAAGCAAAACAAAAACAAAACTAAAGGAGGACGCTTCCAACACCCGCCCAAAGAAAAAATCAAAGGGTAACGTACCAGCACCAGGC